TGTGCTGCCATTCAGCAAGATCTGGACAGGATGGAGAGCTGGGCAGAAACAAACCAGGTGAGGTGGAACAAAAGCAAGTGTAGAGTCTTGCACCTGGGAAGGAATAACTGCAAATATCAGTAAGCTTAGGATGTGACCGGCTGGAGAGGAGCTCTGCAGAGAAGGACCTGGGGGTCCTGGTGGACGACAGATTGGCCGTGAGCCAGCAGTGTGCCCTGCTGGCCAAGAAGACCAATGGCATCCTGGGTGCTTTAAAAGGAGCGCGGCCAGCTGAGCAAGGGAGGTGATCCCCGCTCTCTGCTCTGCCCTGGTCAGGCCTCACCTCCAGTACTGCATCCAGTTCTGGGCTCCCTTCCTGGTACAGAAATGACAAGGATCTCCTGGAGAGAGTCCAACAGAAGGCCAGGAAGATGATAAAGGGCCTGGAGCATCTCCTCGGTATGGAAAGGCTGGGGGACCTGGGTCTGTTCAGCCTTGAGGAAAGAAGACTGAGAGCAGATCTGATTAATGCTTACGTATTTGTTAAGTGCGGGAGTCCAAAGGACACGGCCAACCTCTTGTCAGCGATCTGTGGGGGCAGGAGAAGGGGAAATGGCCACAAACTGGAGCACAGGAAGTTCTGCACCAAAATGCAAAGGATCTTCTTCACGGCGAGGATGATGGAGCGCTGGAACAGGCTGCCCAGGGAGGCTGTGGCTTCTCCTTGTCTGGAGATATTCCAGACCTGCCTGGACACCCACCTGCGCGGCCCGCTGTAGGGAGCCCGTTTTGCAGGGAGCTTGGACTCAATGATCACTGGGGGTCCCCTGCAACCCCAATTCTGTGGTTCTGTAATTTTAATCTTTGCTTCTTGCAGCAATGCAGTGTTTCAGAAGGGAGAAAAGCACGGCAGGCATCAACTGGATTTCTGTGGTTGGTAAAGCTGTGCTGAGAAGTGGGCTGACACTTGGACTTGGAAATGTGTCTGCAGACTCTGCACCCAGAGGAATGACTTTTCCCTGCAGGTTGGGCTTGTCTAAGGTAGGTCATTGCTAGGTGAGCTTCTGCTTTAAAACATCAAGTTGTATAAATGAGGAAATCTTAAAATCAAGATTGCCAATTCTTTTTTACCTAGGTGATTTTTTCACAAGGAAAGATTTGAAATGCTGTTTGCTAATGGAAGATGGAGAGAGGAAAATCAAGTCAAAGGCACACTGTGCACAGCCAGCACATAGCATCTGCACCGCTCTCCCCCTGCACAAAGGAGGAGCAACTCAGCAAGCTTGGCCTGGGCCAGGAAGGCAGCATACAAACATCTGGACCAACCCCAACGGAGCTCCTTCTGCAGGTTGGTTGTCTTCCGCTGTGTGTCTGCCATCCTGTTGCTCTGGGGTAGATTTGTTCATGTTCAACTCATGGAGTTGAGGTCTGAGTTTAAGTCTGTGGGCATCGTCCAGGAATTGGGGTAGGGTACGAGGCAAGGAAAACTGGGGTAAGAGGATGAGGCTTAGGACCAGGAACCTCTTCCATCACTATTAGCTCTTGCTGTTCTTTTTTTGCGTAGGAATCCATGTGGGTTTTTTAATGAAGAACAAATTTGTGCAGCTTGTGAGTGAATTCATTCACGCATGTTAATTGTTGTTCTTCTCTACGTGGAGCTGCAATTGCAATGGATGCTTGTGGTCTGATGTGCAGCCCCCTCTGATGTGCTCAGATGAGCCAAGTTTGCAAGGCCTGGCTCTCGGTTGGTGAGTTGTGCCCAAGGTCAGAGAGGTGACTCTTGTCAGCTTTGAGATGCATCTTCCAGTTGCACGCTGTGTTCTTCCTGTTGCGTTGAGCTCTTGAGCTCCAGCCCTAAGTGAGGATGCAAGTGCTACCGCAGAAGGGATGGTTGAGATTGGAAGTGCAGTGCAAAGGGCTGGAGCCAGCAGGAGCAGGGAAGTGATCATCCCCTGTACTCAGCTCTGGTGAGCCCTCACCTTGAGTGCTGTGTTCAGTTCTGGGTCCCTCACTACATGAAAGACATTGGAACCCTGAAATGTGTCCAGGGAAGAGCCGTGAAGCTGTGAGGAGTGTAGAGCACAAGTGTTATGGGGAGGCAGCTGAGGGAATGGGGATTATTTAGTCTGGGGAAGAGGAGGCTCAGGGCAGACCTTATCCCTCTCTACAGTTAGCTGAAGAGAGGTCATGTCGAGGTAGGGCTCATCCTCTTCTCCCATGTAAGCAGCGATAGGACTGGGGGGAACGGCCTCAAGTTGCACGAGGGGAGATTGAGGCTGGATGTTAAGAAACACTTCTCCACAGGAGTGGTCCGACGCTGGAACGGGCTGCCCAGGTTGGTGATAGAGTTACTGTCCCTGCAGGTGTTCAAGAAACATTAGATGTTGTCCTGAGGGACATAAGGGGCTTAGTGGGAAATGGTGGTGGCAGGTGGACAGTTGGACTGGATGATCTTAGAGATCTTTTCCAACCTTGCTAATTTTATGATTCCATGAAAGGCATCTGCTGGTGAGAGCTTTGGTGGGTGAGCATCAGGCTGCTGGACAGTAGGCAGTTGTTGTCTGTGCAGACAGCCACATCCACAGAGAGTGGAGTCTTTTTAACCTTAACCTTGTCTTTCGTGTCTCATGTGCAGTAAGGCATGTTGTTATAAAGCACCATCGTAGGGGCAACCTTGGTTTGTGCAGCCACCAGAGCTCTCCCCCATGCTTCTCCCTGTGATGTGTGGCCGTATCGAAGGCCTCGCAGAAGCCTGGGTAGGTGAAGTCAGTTGCTCTTCCTTTCCCCCCCCTCGATGCTGGAAATAACAGGGAATGGGATTGGGGGACATCCCAGCAGTGGGTTCCTACCTCAGCAGGACTGAATGGCCGTTCTGGTGCATGTATTTTGAGTGAATCTGACACCAGTTAGAGAATGAGGGGCCTGTGGACAAAAAGAATGTGCCAAGTTTTGCAGTGTAAGGTGTAAGGGGAGAGGTTTAGCAAGGATTTTTTTAGATGAAAATAGTTAATCCCATATTTCCTTTTCATTGTTCTTTCTTTCATCTAGTTCTTGAAAAGTTACCTTTGGATTCTACATTACCATTTATTACTGAAGAGAATACACGTGCACCCCATGCTTTTCATCTGTGCAAAGAATCTTGTAAACGTCTGTGTGTGTGTTTCTTCTTGGCGCTGAGATGAAGCTGTATGGAACATAGGCTTGGATGTCTTTTCAATCAGATGCAGGGACGTGTAATGCTCATCTTAGATGTCGTGCTGACAAGAAGAGCAGAGAGGTAAATTTTATAACGTTGCATGCTATTTTTTTTATTTATTTTTTTTTTTAAATTTTAATTTTTAATTTTTTTCCAGTCATAACCATGGAACCATAGAAGCGTTACCCAGACAGAAGGAGCCTTTGTCACCTGGACTTCCTACCAATGACACAGGCAGTGGAAGTCAGCATCCCAAGCATCCATGAAACCCCTGCACAGGACTGGTGAGAGTTACCCTGGCGCCGTCCTTTGGCAATCTCAGGCCTCTCTGTAAGCTCCCAAGCCGTGTCGTAACTCCTCCCGTGGTGCTGACTCAGCTCTCCCAGTCTCTTGTGGGGGAGAGCTGGAGTTGAACTCCTTCCTGCTTCCTGCCTCTGTCCTCCCTGCTTTGCCCATGGCCCAGTGAGCCTCCATCCTTGTTAGGTGTCTTGAATTACTGAGTTGCTTAAGGATTGGGTGGACCAATGAAATTCTTAGCGATGTCTCTAGATCCACATGTGCACAAAAGCACACTCTAATGCAGTGGTGTGGGGTGTGCTGAAGCATGCCCTCTCAGGTCAGTCTAAGCATACATAGAGTAGACCTGTCTAACAAAACAGGGAATGGACAGTTAAACCCATTCTGTTGGGAAATACTCTCTCCTTCTAAGTACCTTTAGAACGTGAGTTTCTTCAATTAATTACTCAACTCATTTGCTTTTCCTGAATGATCCTAAGTTCTTTTCTCAGGTGACATCTGCACTCTGCTCAGTCCAAGGAGAAATCCCTGCCCGCAGATGCAATGACACAGCGTGGCTCCCAACCTCATTTTTCATTGCTTACTGTTATGGCAGCTGCCATCCATGTCCACCCTGCGTATTCTTAGAGCTCTTCTGGAGTTCATGGGGCAGACTTATGGTTGAACTAAAGGGAATTTTTTCATATTGCTCTAGCTCCAGATGATTATCCCTAGTATCATTATATTAAAAAAAAAAAGGCGTTTGAAGTAGTGCAATATATATTCTGTGCCTCAGAATGTGGCACGTGTGGCATGAGAGAGTTGTGAGGCCACGAGGACTGCCCAGACAGCATGAGAACTGTAAGAGCAGAGAGCTATAGGTGATGCAGCGCTATTTGTGCCACCCGCAGGAAGCGGTAGCTGGGACAAAATATGGCCAGAAGAGTGATCAGATTGCGTTTGGTAAGGAACTATTTCATTGGTTGTAGAACTTTGACAAAATGTATATTCAGGATGATGATCAGCATGCCAGGTGCTGGGACCATGCCGAAAGAGAAATGGTCTGAAAACGTCGGTGCCATTTGCAATATATCCCCTTCCACAAAGCCCTCAGATCCAGGGACGGCCTGAGGCCAGCCGTACGAGGCTGCACAGGAGCAAGCGCTGGGTCCTGCGCTGTGGTCATGACAACCGCGTGGCAGCTTGTGCAGGATTGGGCTGAGGTAGAATTCCAGCGGCCCACTGATTCTAGAATGTTGGGTGTTGGAATCTTCTGGTGTGTGACATGGTCTTGCCTCCCCACCCTGTCGTCATGGCGGAGCAGCCTGGTGGCCCTTAGTGATGTCACAAGAGGCTGGAATGAGGGGAGGAGCAGTGCGTGCTGCGTCCCTTCATTGGAGCGCTTGAGCTCTGCGTGAGTAGCTCGCTTGTTGCCCTTGTGCAGCGACTGAGTGCTTTCATTTTCACCCCGTCTTGTGCAGCATATCTTGTAGGTAAGCTGAGACAGCGTGGGATGGACGGGTGGGCAGAGAGCTGTTGAAAACTGCTGTCTGGTGGAGCTCCTAGCAGCTCGTACTGCTTACTCTTGTCCATCAGACGTAACTTTCAGCCAGTACCTGCATTCCCAAGCGATCCACAAAGATGGCATTTGTCCCGTGGCTTTTCCCTTGTCATCTTTGCTCCATTGTGCAAGCTCACAGACCTGTTCCTTCTCTCTCCTCTACCCGCTCCCTTGGTGCAGCTTTCGCTCGTGGAAGCACAGAGCAAAGTGACAAGAAACAGCTGCGAGTTCAAGGAATTGTCTACCTTGTTCTGATCTCCTGCCAGGTACGTGCCACGCTTTGTCCCCCCACGTGGTTGACCAGCACTGTGTCACACCATGTTTGGTAACACAGCCTCACCCTGCTTTGATGGGACACTGGTCCCGTGTGGGTTTTTTCCACTTCCCCTCCAGCTCCGCCCTCAGGAGGATGCTGTGTGTGGTGCTGTGACCAGCTGGTCTGAAGGAAAGCAATCCCTTAGGCAAAGGGTGCTAGCCCCAGTTTGTGCAGAGCTGCACAGCATGACCCAGGGACACAAGCACGCGTGCTTTGGCTGCGTGAGTGTGCGCGGCAGCTGTGGGGAGCACAGCAGAGATGTGAGCAGAGGAAATCCATGTGCGAGGCTGCGGCCAGCGCTGGACATGAGGCTGGTGGGAGCCGGGGGCTGGGGAGCAGATCCACCCCCAGCAGTGACTCCTCTCACTGCCCTGCTGCTGCGCTGTCGGAGTGCTCTGAGCACCTGCTGCTTTGTGCCAGTCCCCATCTGCTAGCAGAGGGACAGCCGCTTGGTCAAATGCTGCCCAGTAGGCTGTCTCGTTTGATTTGACTGAACAAAGTGGCTGTTTCTAGAACACCTGCCTATGCCAGTGGGTAACTGAGGGTAGTTCTGAGGAAGTCTCTCAATAGCGTGGTGTGTGACCAGAGAAAATATGAGCGTGTTTCTTTTCATTCCAGCTTGTCGTGCCTGCTGTGATGGGTGTCGCGTGCAGCGAGATCAGCTGTGGGCCTGACATGGCACGGATGGAGGTAGAGTGTGGAGCTCTGATTGGTCTTTGTTCCCTAACGTGAGCCAGCAGAGTGAGCTGCAGATGTGCTCTCCTGCTTTTCAAGAGAGAACGAATCCTTGTGGCTCTATCAGTGTCACTGAAAAGCTGCGTTAAAAGCTTCATGTCCTTGCGGCAGGCATCTAGATGGCTGTGGAAGTCATAGTACCAACAGAATCAGATCCGATGTTGTAAACGTGCAGAAGCATTTTCCCCGTCCTGCCTGGATGTTGTCACCCACAGACAAAGTGCTGTTCTCATATTCAGCAAGTTCAAGGAAGCTGGCACTTGTAGTGAGCCAAGGATTGGGTCAGTGGCCCAGCTGCTGTGTCCAGTCCACGGCTGAGGTCTCCAGGCAATGGGTGACAGGAAGTGAGCAGACTCTTACGCTCCTCTTTGGGAAGGCAGTAGTGCAAGCGTGGCAAGTTTATAAAACTGCTGGAGCCGTCTCGGTTGTGGAGTTTGTCCTCTTAGTCTGGGTAGAGAGAGATGCATCTTTGCACTGCCTGGCGATAGTGCTGCGCACTGGAAAGAGAAACAGCTGTTATTAGACTTGCAGTTTCTTGTTAAGTGCTCATGATAAGGACCGAGTGCATTTCCTGCAGCTTTCTCTGCTGACATGCTCCTCACCCTGAAATCCTCCTTGCAGCCCTCAGCTCCTCACCATGGCCTGTGCTCTCTGTTTCAGGCTGAGAACAACGGGAAGCCCCGGCTGGTCCGTGAGGAGTCATCTCTTAATATCCCAGCTATTGCTGCTGCCCACGTTATTAAGAGATACGTTGCCCAGGCACCGGATGAACTCTCCTTGGAGGTAAGCAGTTAAGGGTGTTCCTTGTTGTCCTGTACAGAAGAGTATAACATGTGAAGCTATCAGGAATATTCTCAGACACCTTCCGAATGTTTGGTGAGGTGAAGCCCAGAAGATTCAGTTCCAGATCAGACTTGCACTGGGTTGGATGCAGGGAGGAGTTCAGCCATCTCTAAACTATGGCTCTATTTGGCATTGGAATCTTGTGATCCAAGAGCTACTGCCCAGTGTGGTAGCCTGGTCTCTGAGCAATGGCAGAGCAGTGTATGGAGTGTGCAGATCTGTTCAGGATCTGTTCCGCTGACTTATGCCTGCGGTTTAATTGGAGCTCTCCCTTTGGCAAAGAGCCTGCTGCTTCTGAGAACCATTTCATACTGAACAGCTGAATTCTGTATGTTGTGTATTGTAGTGACTCTTCTACCTCCACGTTCAGTTATACGACTGCAAATGCCTGAAGAGCTGCACTGGTGCAATGGCTCTCAAGCTTGACGATATCGGGCGGTGCAGAAGAATGCAGTCATTTGAGCTGCGCTTTCCTCTCAGCCGTGCTGAAGCTGGGATTGATGTTGCAATCTCTTGCAGGTGGGAGACCTCGTGTGCGTCATCGAGATGCCGCCTCAGGAGCTGAGCCCCCGCTGGAGAGGCAAGCACGGCTTTCAGGTAGGCCCAAGCTTCAGACGTGAGAGCGCAACTTCGGTCGAGGCAGGAATCTCAGCTTAGAGCTGCCCTGCCTGCACAGCATGGCTCCACATGGAAAATGGTTTCCTTGTGCTGGTGTCAGAGGACTTTCCCTTTTGCTGTGGGCTTGGGCCAGAGCTGGAAGTTTGTCTTTGTAGGAAACTGCCTCCTCAGTTAACTTAGAAAGAAGAGCCCTCACAATGTGCATCAGGTCACGGCCACTGAACCGCATCTTTGGAAATGCAGCAGCTTTTTAGGACACGTGTTTCAGTGTCTCTGAGCATCTGTGTTTGCACCCGTGCGGAACACGCATGAAGTCAGTGTCTTTAAGGAAGTTACGGCCTGTCAGCTGAGGCAGGGGGTAACAGAGCCTCTGCGTGCTTGCTGCTGCTGCTGCTGGCTGCAGAACGCTGAGTGGCTCAGAGCTGGGGATGGCAGCTGCATCTCAGTCAGCAAGCAGAAAGTTCATAGGCTGTGCTAACTCAGATACAGATGCATCAATCTATCAAGCTTCTGTATGAAGTTTTTCCCTTCGGGCAAGCTTAAGATTTAGGGGTGCATAGCATACTTGTCCTTTCCCCGCTCCATACACAGTTTTATGGATATTTGCCTGCCAATTTGGAACAATTATTAATTTTAAGCAGGCCATTTTTTGGTTGGATTGTCTTACGGAGCATCCGGCAGACACGTGATGAGGAAAATGTGATGTTTGAACAGTTCAGGCCTGAGAAACGCTGCCTTCAGAATCGCACCTCTCTTCTTCTTGTTACAGGTTGGATTTTTCCCTGGTGAGTGTGTGGAGCTCATTAACGGAAAAATCCCGGAGTCTCTCATCAATTCAGTGCCAAAGCCAGGTACGATGAGACATTTGATGGTGCAGGGAAGGTAAATGGAGTCTTTTTTGGGTGTGTTCCGTGTTTAATACCTCCCTTATCCTTCCCACCTTATCCTCTGTGCTGATGATCCTTCCTGCATAGCACGGGGCGTATGGCTGGTGTTTTGTAGGCAGTGAGAATGAGGGAAGGCAAAGGCAGTTCTCCTGCAAGTCCGTACGAGGCTGAGAACAGCCAGCGTCCCTGGTGGACAGATAGAGGTCTGGTTGTGCTAGTGACACGCTTGATCAGAACGTGGCTTTTCAAGAGGGTCCTTAATGCCCAGGTTGAACAAGCTAAGCAAGAGGAGTGCATTCAATTCCATCAGAACGTGCAGAGATTTGGCCCAGTCCTCCTGTGTTTATGACTGGAGTTGGGGAAATCCTAGAATCCTTGTAGGATTGCTTGGCATGGAAGGCAGCTCAAGGATCATCAAGCTCCAAGCCCCCTTGCCTCAAGCTGGGCTGCCAACCAAGCTCCACGTTTAATGTGAGATGAGACCCCACTGACCAGGGCCCCGTCCAACCTGCCCTTGGACTCCTCCAGCAGGGATGGGGGAAAAATCCATTTTTGTGTGTATACTTGTTGGTAATGTTCTTCCCGTTTTGACGTGCTCTGTAGAATGTGTTGTGCTCGGCCTCGTCCACCGGAGCCAAACCTGAGATGAACTGGTTTCTTCCTTTTGTTGTGCAGTGCCAAAGAAGCGCGGCAAGCTCCTCACCTTCCTTCGTTCCGTGGTGAAGGCCCGCCCAAAGCAACGGAAAGAGCAGGAGGTGGAGAAGGAGAGGGTGTTTGGCCGTGACCTGGGAGAGCATCTTCTGCACTCTGGTTGTGATGGTAAGGGACAGTCCATTCCTGAGAGCTTCCCTGTTTGGGGACCTAGAGATGAAAGGGAGATGGTATCTAGCAAGGGGCAGGGTGATACCAGTGGAGAAACGGGGAATGGGAGTTGATGGCTGAAAGATGAAGTGAGGCTAATGCTCCCAAGAGACAAGCACGTTTGTATTTGCTTCAGCCAAGCCCGGCTGGGCTTAGTGGATGGGATGTGACGGGAGCGCAGCCTGAGGCAGGACTTGACTGAGGAGCTCCAGTAACCGCCGGCACGTGTTCTTTAGTCCCCCAGGTCCTCCAGAGCTGCGCCGAGTTCATCGAGCAGCATGGCGTGGTGCAGGGGATATACCGCCTGTCCGGCGTGGCGTCCAACGTCCAGAGACTGCGGTAAGAGTGCTGCGACTGACAGACACAGCTGCCAGCAGGGGCACGTGCCCTGTTGCGGGCGTTCAGAGGCCTGCGGGCAATGCCTTAGCACAGAGAAAAGGTCTCCTTTGGGAACATCCCATCCAGCACGGCTGACGTGGTGCTGGTGGCCGAGTGTTTGTGTTCTCCTGTACATCAGGAAGCCCTTCTGATTCTTGATTGCATTGGGTGTGGCTTTTGACTTGCTTTCCTCTTTCTCAACCGCTTTCGTGTCCTCTGCAGCCAGGAATTTGAGTGTGAGCAGGTTCCTGAGCTAACCGTCCGCGACGTTCACAGCGCGAGCTCCCTCTGCAAAATGTACTTCAGGGAGCTCCCGACCCCCCTGCTGACCGACCAGCTGTACGACAAGTTCTCGGTAAGCACGAGGCAACGCCTTTCCTTTCCCTCTTCCCTGGGCCTCTTGGGAGATGGCTGCAGCAGTGCCCCAGCTCTGAGGCCCTTCTTCTGTTAGCCCCATGGGGTTTACTCGCATGTCTTTGCCACATCCCGCATCGTGCTGATGCCGCTTCTGGTGGGAGGTGGTTATTTCCATATTCATAATGCTTGCGAGAATTCCTGCATTGTTGTTTTTTCTTGTTTTTTGTTGTTTTTTCCTTTTGCTATTCCCCAACTCTTTCTGGAACGGGAATGGGATTAATAGCCAAGTGTACTTGCAGATGAATGCCCCCTGCGAGGAGCTGAGCTGCCCAACCAGGCTGTAAACCGGCCCGGTGCTTGGACTCCTTGGCCGTGGTGGCACCAGCTGCGTGCCGCTATGTTTGCCAGATGCCTCTTGGAAGGCCTAAAATCTGTCCCTGTGTTGACCAGCAGCATGCTGTCCCCATGGTTCCCACCCTGCGGCAGGTATCTCGCCTGATTTGTGTCTCAATCCCTTTCTGCCCTTTTCCAGGATGCTGTTGGTGCCACTACAGAGGAGGAGCGGCTGGTCAGAATGCGGGACGTCATCCAGCAGCTGCCCGCTCCTCACTACAGGTCAGTGCTGCCCTCAGCCTGCTGAGCTCAGCCCTGCTGCACTTCAGAGGGCAATGGTGCGATTCCAGGCTTTGTCTCACGCGAGCAATGGGATGCCTGGGTATGCTGAAGCGGTTGAAGGCTATGCGGGGTTAATTTGTGGGGTGAGTTCCTGGGCACGGGAGCACGCTTGGTGCAGCTGATGGCTGTGGCTGTGCTGTGCTGGTGCTGGGTGCTGCAGCGTGGCACTTGGTCAAGTTGGGTCTACTTCATCTTCAGCATCAGTAGCAGTAATAACAACTAGTGTGAATTGAGGTTTGCTTTGTGAGTGGCAGCACGGCATGCTGGCTGGTGCTGAACATTTGCCGCTCTTGTTTCCCAGGACCCTGGCGTATCTGATGAGACACTTGGCCTGTCTTGCTGCAAAGAACTCTGTCACCAACATGCACGCTAAGAACTTAGCCATTGTGTGGGCTCCAAACCTCCTAAGGTAAACTTCTTTTTCCGTTTCAACAGAACGCTTACATCTGTTCTCCAGTAGAATAAAGCAGTCCTCCCTTCTTCTGCACCACATGTGCTCTTCTCCTGTAAAATGTGCAGTGAGTGGCTGACAGCAGAGCAGGAGCCTGGACTGTTCTCCAACCCCGCGTGGGCACAATTTCTAGCTGAGCATTGCTGCTCTCTTGTTTAGATGGGACTGGTGTGTCCTTGATCAGACAGGAGAACTTCTTCAGTGGCATCTCTTATATGCCCGCTGCGGAAGTCTCCAGAGAACAAATGTGACAGCTTTGGGCTGCAACAGTTCAGACTCGGAGAAGCGATCTTGGCTGAATGACTTCTAAAACCTGCCTTTTCTACAGATCACAGCAGAGCGAGTCTGCCTGCGCCAGCGGGAGAGCTGCCTGCACGGAACTGCAGACGCAGTCGGCTGTGGTGGAATTCATCATCGACCACACAGACGTCCTCTTCTGCTCCACATCCGGATCGGACATTGCAGATGGAGCAGGTGAGTGTCTTCCTCCATTAGCTTTATCTTGGTCAGACACCTGGATCAAATGCAGGCCTTTTCCAAGTCCTTTGAAATACACTTTTCCTGTCGAGGGAACAGCAGACTTCTGGGCTTAGATTGGAATCTGGCGTCCAGTTGCTGGATGCTGAGAATGTGCAAGCCCAAACTTGACAAGGAGAAAAAACCATCACTGTCATTATGATGTTTTGCAAGCAGGTGAAGCTTGATTAACGTGTGGCAGCAGAGCTTTCTCAGTTCCCTGCCCCCATTTTCTAGGGTTTTTGTTTGCCTGTTTCGATACAGGGAGCTGCTCTTAATGATGACTGCGTCCTTTGCCATAGACACACCTCTGAGCACATGGTTGTTTTGAGCTGCTCTTCTTCCAGTGGCAAGTCTGAGGAAAACACAGCAGCTCCCCCGGACCTGCGATGGCTGTGCTGCCGCTTTCTGATCCTGGCTCTCACCTGTGGTTTTCCCTTACAGGGCACAGCTCTCTCTCAGGGCCCCAGTCTGTGCAGGCGTCTTCTCCTGCCACAGAGCTGCTCAGCCTGGAGGAGGCGCAGGCACGGAGGCGAGGCCACAGCAGCTCTCCTGTTGTTGTGGCACAGAGCCGGGACATGGAAGTGGAAGAAGGCCCCACAGCTGTACGGGGGAAATTCCACACCATCATCGACTTTCCATCTGAAAGGTAAAGAGGACTTCCTTTTCCAGTACCTTATCATCATTGTTTGGGTGGGTTTTTGTGGTTCCTTTCCGTGTTTTTTCCCCCCCCACCATTATTTCTAGTGCCAAAGTTTGCTGAAACTCAGTTAAACTGATGGTGCCTGAAGTGTTGCAGTGAATCTCCACTCCCTTTGCACTGTGAGACTGAACTCACATTCAGTTGCCCGCCGGGCTGAGTTTAGCCACACAAGGCTGGCATTCCCTCCTTGCTGGGCAGGCAGTCACGAGCTGCATGAAGCCACGCTGACGTCTGTCCTGGCCTGTGCTGGCTGTACCTGGAAACGTTGGGGTTTTCTGGACTTCAGGGCCACGTGCCTGAATCCAATCCCAGTTCTCCTGGAAGCAGAGCTGTTGGTCAGACCTGCTGGCACGAGAAACTAGACATGGCAGTGAGATGGGGCCGATGAGCTGTCAGTGTCAGAGTCAGAGATGCTTTTGGAGTTCCACGCACAACTCACACCATTCCCTGTTTCCTCTCTCCAGACCAAGTCCACTGGGCAGGATGAAGGAATCACCAGCTGGCTGTTGGTGTTCCTGCTTCAGCCTGGGGAAACCATCCTCTGTGGCCAAAGACCAACGGCAGCACCATCCCAGGGAGCCCTCAGAGACAGACATTGTAGTCCTGGCAGGTAAGGGTGCAAATCCTGCTTTCAACACCCTGCTTCTCAGCAACATAGAATTCTTGCTGTCAGTGGGCTTGTATCTCCTTCTAGCTATCCAGCCCATACCTAGCACCTTCAGATCTCCCCTGATCAAGAACCACTTTTGTAATTCCGCTTGTGAGAGTTGGACACCAACCCCTGTTCATTCTTTTATAGGTGATTCGAGCTCTTGTCAACCCAGATGTGCCAGAGCAAGTAGCGATGCTGGGCTGTGTGCTTCCACCAATGGAGAGCTGTTAGGAAGCACAAATGGCTGCGGTTCAGATGACAGCCTGCCGCATAACAACAGTGATGGAGAGAAGGAGCTCATCCAAGTTGAAGCCCTCATTTCTCCCGACTCTGCTGAAGATGCTGACCTGAGCCTGCCAGACACCACAGGCACCAGCCTGGACTGTGACCCGGTGCCTCTGCAGTGCAGCCCAGCCCAAGCACAGCCTCAGTGCCCCAACAGCAGCACCTCTGTGCAGGAGCAGGTCAGCAGCAGCGAGGAGAAGCCGTGCCTCTTGGAGGGGGACTTAGAATCAGGCCTCCAGTCCCAGGCACTGTGCAGCGGCTCTGAGAGCTCTGAGCCGCTCTCTCTGTGACCTTTCCACCCAAGAGAGAACGATTCCCATTTTTACCTGGACCTCTCACGCCCTCCTGTCTTTTCCTTTAATAATAAAAGCACTCTTGTGCTCACTCAACGCCTTGAATGCCTGTGGAGTCTTCATTCATGAGGACTGGGATGAATGCAACAAACAATGAGGCACCTCAGCTTGCACTGCTGAAGCTAAGGGGTGCACGAAGCAGAGCTTGGGGTTAGTTCCCGTTTTGTCTGGCTTTGGGGTGTCTGCAGCTCCCATTCGGTACGGTAGCAAATAATCTCTAGCATCCTGGATGCTGTTCGTGATAACCCCAAGCTTCCTGGCGGTGGCTTTGTGATGCCTTTCAGGGCTTTTTGATGCACTGTGATGCCTTGGCTGCTCCCTAGCACCTCTCTCCTCCTGCCGCGTCCGTTCCTGGCTCCCAACCTCCAAGCTGCCTGCACAGATCATCTGCAGCCCTGTTACCATTACGCTGCGGCAGGACGAGCTCATTCAGACCCGGCCTCTCATTGGTCAGCGGCAACGCTGTCCCGCCCCCGCCTGCCTCTTATTCGTCAGCGGCAGCGCTATCCCGCCCCCACCAGTCTCTCATTGGTCAGCGGTAGCGCTGCCCCCTCCCCCGGGGGTTCCTTGATCTGCGGTTGCTCCGCCGGCTGTGATTGGCTGAGCCGCCGTGCGGGGGAGCGGTCGTTGGGGGCCGGCTGTTGGAGGCGCGGAAGACCTCAGTGGCAGCCGTTGCTGTCCGGGCAGCAGCGAGGCGGAAGCCGCAGAGCGACGGGAGCGAGTGCTGAGGGCAGCTCCGCCGGAGGTGTGCGGGAGAGCTGCGCGGAGGTGTGCGGGACAGGGAGAGGAGCCCTGCGCGGCCCCAAGCAAGGGGAAATAGCTGTAAAGTGGAGCACGGGAAGTTCCGCCCGTGGACGAGAAGGGAGTTCTTCACGATGAGGATGGCACAGCTCTGGAACAGGCTGCCCAGGGAGGCTGTGGCTTCTTGTCTGGAGATATTCCAGTACCGCCTGGACGCCCAGGGAATTTTTTTCCGCTCTCTGTGCTGCCCTCGTGTGGCCGATTTGCGGAACAGCAACGAAGTTTTATCCGTGGTCTCTTCTGCCCTCGTGTGGCCGATTTGCGGAAGTGCAGCGAAGTTTTTTCCGCCGTCTCTCTGCTGCCCTCGTGTGGCGAATGTGCGGAACTGCACTGTAGTGTTTTCCGCTCTCTGTGCTGCCCTCGTGTGGCCAATATGCGGAACTGCAACGAAGTTTTTTTCGCAGTTCTTACTGCCCCCGTGTGGCCAACATGCAGAACTGCATCCAACTTTTTTTCCGCGGTCTCTGGTGACCCCGCGTAACCAATCGGTGCCCAACACCGAGCATGTAAAAGCAGATGTGAATTTTGCACGAAAGAGTCCTGTCTGGACTTTCTGCATGCGCGCTGCGGTGAGGAGAATTGCATATGCGCTCTGCGGTGAGGAAACTGACGCATGTGCAGTGCGATGTCCAGGAAGGCGCATGGGTTCTGCCTGCATGAAGTCGGTGCATGCGGGCTACACGAGTAACCGACGCATGCGCAGTGCTGTGCCAAGAAGCCGCATACGCTGTTCGGTGCTGAGCTGGCGCATGCGTATTACCGTGCCGCGGCTGGCGTATGCGCCTCGCGTGGCAGAAACTGGCGCGTATATATAGCGCGTTACAGAGCCCGGATTTGCTCAGATGTATTGCTTTCCCGAGACATGCTCGTGTCAGTGCTGCTGCACACCGGTAACGCGATCGAGAATCTCCGAGCCGCTGTGAGCCGCTGCGAGTCGCTCCGAGCCCGTCCGAGCTGCTCCGAGCCTTTCCGAGTCGTTCCGAGCCCCTCCGAGGAGTTGCAAGCCGCTCCGAGCCGCTCCGAGCAGCTCCGAGCCCGTCCGAGCCGCTGCGAGTCGTTCGTAGCCCTTCCGAGGAGCTCCGAGCCCCTCGGAGAAGCTCCGCACCGCTTTCGTGCGGCTCCGAGTCCTTCCGAGCAGCTCCGAGCCTTTCCGTGTGGTTCCGAGCCCCTCCGAGGAGCTCCGAGCCGCTCCGAGCAGCATTCGCGCTGCTGCGAGCTGCTCCGAGTCCTTCCGGGCAGCTCCGAGCCGCTGCGAGTCGTTCCGAGCCCCTCCGAGGAGCTCTGAGCCTAACCGAGCAGCTCCGAGCCGCTTTTGCGCCGCTCCGAGTCCTTCCGAGCCGCTCTGAGCCGCAGCGAGTCGCTCCGAGCCCTTCCGAGGAGCTGCAAGCCGCTCCGAGCCACTCAGACCCTCCGAGCCGCTCCGAGCCCCTCGGAGAAGCTCCGCGCCGCTTTCGTGCCGTGCCGAGCCGCTCCGAGTCCTTCCAAGCAGCTCCGAGCCCTTCCGAGCAGCTCCGAGCCGCTCGCTCCGAGCCGCTTTCGTGCCGCTCCGAACCCCTCCGAGTCCTTCCGAACAGCTCCGAGCCCCACCGAGCCGCTCCGAGCTCCTCCGAGGAGCTGCAAGCCGCTCCGAGGAGCTCCGAGCCCCCCCGAGCAGCTCCGAGCCCCTCGGAGAAGTTCCGAGCCGCTCCGAGTCGCTCCGAGCAGCGTTGCACTGCTGCTGCGGGGGCTTTTAAACGGCTGGGGGACGGTGCAGGGCTAGGGTTGGAAGGGGACGTTTGCTGGTTCAGCGGGAGGCGAGCGAGTTGGATGCCACGAGGCGCTGAGGGGCAGCTGTGAGCCGAACCGGTCCGTTTCCGTTCCCGGGTGGGTTCGGGCATCAAACGGCGGAAATAGACGAGGGGCATCCTGGATTAGCGGGGGAGAATCTATCGCTGAGCCGGCGGCCCGGAATCGGCTGCTTGCCCGTAGCCGTAGTGGTTTTTCGAGACAGTTGCTGTTTTGAAGGTGACGGGCGTATATTCGCTGTTAGCCGGAGGACTAATCACCATAGAGAGCGGCGGATGAGCTGCGCAGAGCGGTTAGATCGGCACTTCCGCATTTCTGGGCGCATGTGTTTTGCCGCTGGCGCGACTCGGCGGCAGGCAGCGGCAGTTCCGCGCGTTGGCCACGCGGTGGCAGCAGAGACCACGGCAAGAACTTTCCTGCCGGATCGATGCCGGGATTCGGCGGTAGACGGCGGCAGTTCCGCGCATTGGGGGCTGCCCGTGGGGCGCGTGGAGTGCTGGAGGAGTTGATGGCCGTGCGCGGTGGGGTGATGGTGCCCTCGGCGCACGGCTGTGACAGCGGGGTGGGGGTCGGTGCCCCCAAAATGAGGTGGTGGGCGAGTTGTATGGGGAGTGCATGTGAAGCAGTGCTGGAGCAGCTTGTGAAGGGTGCAGCCCTGTGAGCACAGGTGGAAGCAAGGCAGCCGTGGGAGCAGATGTGGGACCTGTGGGTCGCTTATGCGTCGTTTGTGGGGCGCTGATGTGTCACTTTTAGGGCCCAGGCTGCTATCAGTCATTTGTGGGTCCCTGCTGCCCCGCTTGTGGGGGTACTTATGGGTCAATTCCTGGTCCCTTTGCCAGTTAACGGTCCCAGGCTGCTGTGGGGCACTTCTGGGGCCGTGTGTCTCACTTGTGGGTCCATGCTGTGCCACTTGTGAGGCACTTGTGGGTCCCTGTTGGGTCACTTGTGGGTCACAGGCTGCTGTGGGTCATTTGTGGGTCCCTGCAGTGCCACCTGTGGGGCATTTGTGGGTACCCGTGGTGTCCTTTGTGGGTCCCTGCGGTGCCACCTGTGGGGCCCTTGTGGCTCCCAGGTCACTGAGGGTCTTTCTGGGTCCCTCTCTGTTTCTGTGGGGTTTGGATTGCTGTTGGAGCCCAAAGGCCACATGCTGCCATACAGGCAGGTGCCAGGGTCACCCCCTGAGGACACCAAACCCTCCAATGATGTCACAGCGGCCTTTAATTGCTGTGTGAGGAGATGACGTGCGTTTCTCCCTGGGGAGCCGTAAGCTGAGCCTGGCAGCTGGGCAGCCAGCACTCGCTCCATTGACGCCGCTCATCTCAGCCCTTGTGCTGCACATGCAGCTTCTCAGCACCTCGCTGTATCAGCACTGAAATCTGTGCTCCCCTATTTTATTACAAATGTCACCAATTGCCATGGAGGACAGACTGGAAGCAAAGTACGTGGACCGTCCTCAGCTCGTCCGTGGATAAACCTCCCCTTGCCACACAGGCAGACCCAATTGGCTGCCGGTCATGACTTGTTTTTTTTTTACTTGATTTTTTTCCTTCCTGCTTTTAGGGGAACTTTGAGATCACAGCCTGAAGCAGTGATGGAGCAACCTGGTGAGGGGTGCAGCCCTGCCTGCACAGGTGGAAGCAATGCAGCCGTGGGGCAGATGGGGCTGAGCCTGGCTCCACCCCTCCCTCATATCATCTTAAGGGCTGGCAGCCCCACAGGCAGGGTTTCTTCCTGGAGATGCCTCCTGTGGATTGCTGGGTGAGCTCTGGTTCGTGGGAAGAGGTCA